ATGGAAACTTTCATAAAGTATATGAATCCCCTGCATCTTCTTGGAATAGAAAAATACAAAGTTATCATTTAAATAAATCATAAACAAAACCTTCTTTTATTATATTTTACACTGTTAGGGATTAATAACCCCAACCTAAAGATATAGTTATGAACATTTAAGGATATAATTGTAAATATTCCAAAGCTAATTACAATATCCAGCCTTAAAACCATATAATTCTGATGACACTTCAAGTCATGACATCTTCATTGCCAGCTTCAAACTCCAACTTCACTTCACTTCCAATTCCCTCGACATCCATTTCGGACTCAGAAGCATTTAACATGTTTAAAGTTACCTGAAAATATAAGTAATTCTGAGTATACCTCATTAGAATCTAGTTTAATAAAACAAATAAAATATACATCTATTGAATTAGCATGTATTAAACATGTATTTCTGGACTATAGCTAATATTCCAAGTGCTAAAATAGATTTGATAAAATATGAAATTTGTATCAAAGTAATCTAAATCAAATATGACACAAATATTTGAAACATATATTAATGTATATTTAACTACCAAAACATCTTTAACTCACCTGATTAGAACCAGAGGTAGAAAGAGATATCCCAATCGCTCATCTTGAGCTTTCCGTTTAAACTGGTGTTTTAGATTGGGAACTGAAAAGAAAAAAAAAAAAAAAACAAACAAAAAGATATGTAAGGCACCTTGTATGGGTTTTCAATTAAAATGTTGTTATTATTACTTTCCACTATTTAAGACATTTCCCATGTGATAGATATTTATTTGTACCTTGACGGTTCTGTCATTGGATGTATAACATCATAGTCATTTCAGCCAATTTGTTAAACGCTGCTCCAGCTTCAGTAAATATCTCACCCACCTGAGTATAAACAAGATTATAAATACAAACATAAAAAATTTAGTCTAATTTTTTATATGAAAAAAACTAACTAAATTAACCTTAGCAGCAGAATTATTCATATTTTTAATAGGATTTTATAAAACAATCTCAATTTCTTATTACACGAAATATATAGCTGTCGCTGTTATATGTTTCAATATTTACTAAAAGATTAAAGATTTGTTATGTATCCTAATTCCTACGTCAAATATGAAGTTTTAAAAATGTCAAGGCACCATTTTGCTTGTCACTTTGATAGATGCTTCTTACTTACAATTTAAATATTGTAACATCTGTTTTTTGTATTTTTATATTAAAGAATATATTTAATATTAATAAAAAATACAGGAAATAAACAATTCAATAATACTAAGCATTTTTTAAAGGGCGAATTCATACACATTTTCTTGAATAACACTCGATGATGAAATTGTATGTTAATTATATAAACTCTTTTTATAAAACACGAGCAATCCATGTTCTACTTTCCTTACTGAATTGTAATCATTATTTTATTTCAGCAAAATATCCCATTTCTGTCTCATTGTGATTATTAAATGTCAAATCAAATTTAAATGACAACAAAAACAACGTGCGTTGCAGTTGGTATAATATTTGTTTCAATGTATTATAAGCTTTTATAAATTATTATAACGCTTGTATTGATATAATATTTAAAGAGAATGTATCCTGAGTCCAATCATACAAATTTGAGCAGACCTCATGCACCCTGGAATCAACATGGGCCACAGGGACAGTATTATAATAGAAATAACCCCTGGCCAGGCTCGGTGGGCAACGAAAACGAAATACCAATACCTTCAAAATGAAGAATTCAAATTTTGGTGTGAAACCTGTGATAAAGGGTTTAGATTGGCCAATCATCTAGAAAATCATAAACTTCAACACCAAAGTAAGTAGGAATGTAACTATGTACTTCAACGAACTTTATTTCCAAAAAGTATTTTCAATGTTTATGTTATTAATCTAATGAGGACATTCTTATTTGCCCTATATCTCGATTCATTAATGAAAATTTTGAATAAGTTTTGATGTCCCCTGAAAAACTTTTATCAACTGTATATGGCCTTAGTTTATTATTATTTATTATATTAAATATTAATACAAACATTACAGAAATGTAACATAGATGGTTGTCAATATGTAGCCACATCCAAAAGTTATTACAAGACACATTCAAATGCAACACTCCAGTGGTTTGTTTAAAAAAGATATCAAAATTAAATAACCCAGAGGAAATAAAAAAAATGGAGGGAAGAAAGAAAGATGAAATATCCAACAAAAGAAAATATTGAGAAGAAAAAAAGCTGAAATTAATGAAAAGAATTAAAAGAGGTGAAAAAATGGGTTTAAAACATGAAAAAGGCAAGAAGAGACATGACAAAAAAAGGTAATGATTTCAATATTGAATCTAAGAGTTGTGTCTTATTTTTAAATTTGTCAATTTAACAAATGTATTAATATTAAATAATAAATTATTACAGATTTTTCTAATAAACGAAAAACAAAACTTAACGGGAGCAAAAGCTAATGGCATGAAAAGGAAATGTAAATTTGATGTGACAAAAAACCAAGATCAAAATAAGAAAAAATATGTAAAGAACTACCTCCTACTGAAGAAACAAGAACTTTAAAACCATTTTGCAGGCATTCGGCTCTTATATGAAGATGAGCAGGAAGAGATTACTGAGATAACAAACAGATTCTCTCATAGAAGATGTAGATGAAATAGTAAGAAGAAATTGTAGAAAACAAAGAAAAGACAACTGAACCTACAATATGTGGGGCTTTAACATCTTTGATGTGTCAATATGGCTCTTCTGATGAAGAAGAACTCATAGAAGATAACACAAAATTAATATCAAAACATAATAACATTGAATCTTCAAATAAAACAATGGTCTGTAACAATAGTGCCAGCAAGTTAAATGGCAATCCTAAACTTAGTATGGATAAAAACACCATCCAAATGAAACATTTAATGACAAAGAAAAAAATTATTGAGAGTGATAATGACAGTGGACCAGAAGAAACTAGCATAGTTAAGAATGAAAATAGTACAGTACCTGTAATAAACTGTCAAAACTAAACACAAAAAACCAAGCCAAGAATAAGAAAAATAATTTGCCAAAAAAAACAATCATTCTAGACACATGAATTCAGTTCACAAGAAGAGAAAACTCCCTTCAACCCTCTTAGAAAAATTATTACACAAGGAAATACGAAATGAAAGAAACATAATTCTTCAATGCATAAGATATATAGTTGATAATAACTTTTTTGATAGTCAGAAATAAAATTATTGTATACTTGCATATCTTTTTCACTTTAGTGAAAGTAATTAAAATACTTTTATAGTTAAAACACACGTTCATTAAGTCCTGGTGGCTTAGAGGTTAAAGGTCCGCCTCTAGTGCATCAGGGTGAGGGTCTATTTGAATTATATTGGTCTATAGGACAAATGTTATGTAAAACTTATTATATGATTGTCTTTCTATGCTTAAACAATAAAGAATATGGCATTTTATCTGGCCCTCAAACACTATTCCCGATAATTATTTTGATTTATATTTTTAATCATTTAAAATAGTTAAAAATGTATACTCCTCTGGCCTTCCCATTTACGAATTATAATGAACTTATGGCCGAATACTTTCAAGAAAGTATACAATTATCTTTTTTATTTAATGTGGTCATACGCTTTAATAAAACATCGAAACATATTTTAACAAAATTAAGAGTAAAAATATTTATTAATATAAAATAGGTACCTAATATAACTTATTTTCGAGTCATGTTACAATACCGTCACTTCATCTGGCGGAAATAAGACGTAAAAATTTATTATTAAATCATCACAATTTTGTGCTTTTGATCTTAAAAAGCGGGCGAAAAACAGTTTGAAATTAGAGGCACAAGCTAAATAAATTTGAGCAAAATTCAAATTTTTTTCGATCAGTTTTAGATAAACTGTCTGAAAGTAATTTTATGATAGTTTTAGTTTATGTAATCAGGACCAGGCATATCATCCTGGTCCATTCACTTCTCTTCATATATACCTACTGCCATTGTCCCAATTATCTCTCGCTTGTACGGAGACTACCACTGTATCAGAAAAATCCCTAGGATTCGTATTAAAATGAAGTTTTTCAATTATAAAACGTTTACTTTCTTTCCACATAGGTACCTATTAAATCGTGTAACAATAACTAAAAAAGTAATTGCTTATTTATCAGTTTTTAACTTGTCTAAAGAATTGATTGATATACCTAATTGTTGGTTTTTTGTTTACTCCGTATAACTATAACGACTAAAAAATGTTATCCCTTGAGTTTCATTATAGTTTTTGTTGTCTATTGATGGGAATGTTATTAACTAATTATTATTTTCATAATTTTACCATCTTACATCGATCAGATCATACATAAATAAAAATTAGTATAAAATTTGTTTTTACAATCTAAGTAGTTTTTGGTTTTCTATCGACATTCCGTCTGCAACCTAAACTTTTTTCTACTGTGCAATAAAGAGGTATATATACAGGGTGACTGGTGAATTACTATCAATATTTGAGAGTACTCGGTACATGATTCTCATTCGAATTATGTAAAAAAATGGGTACTTAATTTGTGACCAAATTTCCGTATAAAAATAAATAAAAGTGTGGACACGATCCAAGTGTGGACGTGCGTTCCACGTAAGGCGTGCGGCGGCGTGCTGATACAACACCACGCCACCGCACGCGTATGTGTGTGTATACCTAATCTGTAGGGTGTTCACACGATGCGTAATTTAAATTACATAACTTTTGGTTAACTTTACTTAGAAGTTTATTAATATTTATGTTATATTAATTTTTTATTTTGTCAAATATAATCGTAAAATATCACGTCAAGTATCGATAGTAATTTACCAGTCACCCTGTATAAGGAGTAAATATTATTGAACTATGGTAAGCAACAGGTAGTGCTTAATTATAAGCTTACGTTATGTTATGTAAGAGGGATTTGCTAAGTATAAATAAAAACCAAGAAGTTATATTACAACTTTATTTAAAAGCCCAGCAGTCTAAGACTGAGCTGCAGCCGGTGCAGCTGCATTGGCGGCATCTTCGCGAACGCGATCCTTCTTGAGCGTACCCATGAACGCGGCCTTGTCAGCCGGCGTCTGGAAGCGACCGTGACCAAACTTAGACGCGGTGTCAATGAACTTGAGGTTGATCTTCTCAAGAGCTGCCCTCTTAGTGTGGACGCGGAGGGACTGAAACAAAAAAAAAATACAAGTTTAAATATGGTTTCAATTTCGTCAGAGCACTCAATGAACCAAAAAATAATTGCTATTTTCAATTATACATTCTATAAGAGACTATTAGCCAAAAACGTCAGTTAACATTTTCAAATTTTAAAAGATATTTTATAAAATTTTTCTTGATAATATGACTACAACTCACCTTTCTTAAGGTGATAACGCGCTTCTTGGGACCCATGCAGCAACCCTTGATCATGATGAAGTCATTGTTAACTTCTCCATAGTGAGAGGGAAACCACCCATGGGTGTGATAGACTTCTCTGACAAGTCATACTCAGTGGATGCATTGTTTTTAATGACCTTTCCGTCCTTGGTGTGAATACCTATAAAATATATTGAAAACATTAGATAAAATCGCAACTTACATGTAATAAATATTGTATGCGAGCTAAAACAAGAAATAACAATCAAAACAAAGCTGTTGGTATAGGCTATAGATATAGTTTAATCCATCTAGAGTCTAAGTTTATTACCTTGTCCAATTCTGTAGATCTTCTTGTTCATTTCAGTACGGTGGTGGTAGCCCTTTTGACCCAGCACGCGCCACAGTGAATGAAACTCTTGAGGGATGCCATGCTCCAATACAAGCGACCTTACGCAGACCCTTGTGAGTCTTACGCGGCAACTTCTTTGTGTGCCAACGAGAGGTGACACCTATAAACAAAATATAATCAATACTTAAGTCACGACCACATTAAATGGAAGGTTGATATGACTATCATATTGTATAAAAATGAACAAAACCTACTGATTATATTTATATTGCATCTTTAAATGAAAAATGGTAGTCAACATATGTTTGAATAATTATAACAGCATATTCTGGGTGTATATTTACCTTTGTATCCCTTTCCTTTAGTCACAAAACACCGATGCAGTCAATCATCTCATCCTGGGCAAATACAGAGTCAATTGGAATTGGCTTTTGACCCAAATGTTCCCTGGCCCAATTGACTTTGTCTTCAATAGACCCACCGTTAACTTGGATTTCCATGATATGGGCCTTCTTTTGACGCTGCTTCAACAGCTTCATTTGAGTGTGAGCAATAACCCTGATTACACTACAGTAACGGATCATTTTCTTGAAGTCCTTCTCAATGGATTTACGTCCGAGCTCATCCTGCCATTTCTTGCTTGACTTGGTGAAGGCCTTCTTCTTACACTTATACCTGATTTGATCACAAAGTTATGCTATGCTGCAAGAAATACCAAGCAGCCTCATCGTTGAGCGGAGACCGCAAGGCAAAATATGCATGGAGCATATTCATTTAACTCTCATCCAGCGATAGGAGAGCTTTAGTAGATTTATTAGTATAAATTTATAAGGTATTACATGTAAAAAGTATAGTAATAAATCGTGATAAAACTTACCAGTTCTTGTAAAAAGCGACGACGGCAGTCTTCGGACATATGTTCAGCCCAAACCGTCAGGAGAGCGCGGAGACCATGTGGAGTCTCGATGTAACCGACAACACCAAACACAGACCATCGGAGGAGTCTCAATGATGGTCACAGCCTCTACAATCTCCTTCTTGTTGATCTCTATAATAAAAAAATACAATGATATACACATTGAAAGACCTAGGACAGGCTAGGCATGTTATAGTAAAAAAAAAAGGTTGCAGTGGACGAAAAGTTGTCATTAATATCAATTAATTTCAAAGCTATGACTTTGACTAATTCTAAAACTAACCTTCGTATGTTAAAAGTAGTAAATATAAAAGGCAATGGCTGATTTAATATCAATTATCAGTAATAATCATATTTCAATATAAAAACTATCACTTACTTGAACCAGGACGGTCGGGTTCACGAACCACGTGGGTCATACCAGCCTTGTAACCGATGAAGGCTGTTAGATGTACCGGCTTGCTGGCATCATCCTTGGGGAAGGCCTTTACCTTACCACGATGACGGCGGGACCTTTTCTTGGGGTAGAATCCCATGGACCCATGGCGAGGTGCCGAGAATTTCCTGTGCGACTGAAAGTATCGTCTTTTAAGATTTGTTCCAATCTTAAACTATATAAGTCTAAAATATAACAAGTTTCAGACCGCCCTAGTAAAGTATCTTCACTTTCATTCAGGTTCTAACCGTATAAAAAGAATAACTAGATCATCATCAAGATTTGGAGTATTTAAAGTTTGCAAAAGGAAAAATATAACAAAATAAATAAATAATAACCAATATTGCATCATAGGAAAAGACGCAATCAGAGTTATTTAGTAAGGATGGTAAAAAATAACTTGAGATTTTAAACATCTTATGTGGGACAACTTACCATGTTGGATAACTGTCGCGGCAAAAATGGCCGAGTTGTAGAAAAGTCACTTAGCTCATCAATATTTTCTTTGTAAATGTTTTCACGGCTTTGGATACGAGTCTTTTGAGCCTTTTTAAGTCATCAAATTAATTGTTGTGTTGTCACTTATGTTGTCTGTTATTATATAAATTATAAATTAAAGACACAACTATTAGAAATAATAATTTGACAAAATTTAAGGTAAAAAATATTTTAATTAATTCAAATAAATTTTTCAATTAAAAAATAATGTATGTGCATAATTGAGTTGAGATAAAATAATGCATAAATATTTTTCTATGAATCGTGCTAAAATGTCATGGGATAATAATAAAAAATAACGAAGTTACACAGTATTAGAAGGAAAATAACTTTTTCTATATTGTTAAACTATTGTCTATAAAGTTTTGGGTATCAATTGTGTTAATCTGACAGAATTCACATGTCATTTGTTTGTTATAAATACATATTTAGTAGACACTACAGAGCGACGGATCTGTAATAGTAATTTTCATTGATCTCATTTCAATTCCAAATAAAATATATAAATACTATTTCATGTGTTAATAAGAATTAAGAACTTCTCAGCGGTAAAATGGCGGGACCTATTGAAAGAATTCAAGTTCTAGATGAAATTGAAAAGGACATAATAACATGCTTACAATGTGCAGGTATCCTATTTTTTAATAATATTGTTGTATTTAAATTTTGAATTGGTTTAAACCACATCAACTTTACTATTTAATTTTCATATTATGTGTTTATTGCAGCTCAGGCTCTATTGGAACTTGGTAAAGAGAAAATCGAGTCAAAAACAGGCTGAGAGTAACACATCTCAATTTCTAAGAACCCTTAGTCAAGTTGAATCAAAATTGAGTGATCAGATCAATTATCTAAACCCAAGTTTCTACGGGTCAGCCACATGAGGGTTCTGGGTATGCTTCACAGAAAGTTCTACAAATGGCCTGGCATCGACTAGAGCATGTTAGGTCCTGGGTTAATGAACTGGGAGAGACTCAAGGCTTCTCACATGGCAGCCTCATCTAGATCAAATAGCAACATGACTTCCTCGGGCACTAGTACACAGTAGTACACATGATAATATGAAAATAAAGAATAAAATGATAATCTTTCCTCGGTTTTAAGTATATATTAATGAAAATTATACATTCATGTGTTTTATTTCATGTACCTCTTAATTATAGTTTATTTAGCAAATAAGTAATGAAGAATAAATGCACACAAACAAGATTAGAAAGTGGAACATTTAGGATGTGGCATTATAATTGCTTTAATGATTAACTTCTCATACTGTCTTAGTGATTTTTTTTTTATTCTATACTTAAATACATTTTATTTAATTATTATCTCAATATTACTTCAATGTTAAAAAAGAATCATTTATAATAAAATTTCCCTATATTGCTATATTTGAAAATGTATTTGTAGAAGAGCTATGAAATGAGCAATGCTGCCATCACTAATACTATTTTCAAAAGTTGGGTTATCCATTTGCACATGTAAAGCACTCACAATTACTTGTAACACTTTATTTTCAAATATAACCAACACTTAGTAATTTAATAAGTTTCCTCTTGGATATCTCTCATACTACTATGTCTCCAAAAATAAATGGTTTTTGTGGAGTCATTACAGACTCTTTTAATTTAAAATATATGTTATTCTGAATAATCGTAGTAATTCAAATAATCGAAATCATTACTAAAATTTTCGAAAAACATAATTAAACCATCTAAACTTTATATTATTGTTACTTAATATTTTATAGAAAACATAACTGATTAATAGTAAAAAAAGGTTATTGTTTAAGTTTTTGTTTTACTTAAACTTACAAAATAACTTATCTACACATATTACAAATCACGATATGAATTAATATTTACTGTTATTTAATACAAATCAGACAAACTATCTGTAGAACAAATAATTTTGTTAAAGAAGTTACTAAGCATGACATTGTTTATATTATTATTGTTGTTTACTATATGTACCTTATAATGGTTCTAAATTTTTTATCACTGTCAATATCTTGCCCAAACTAATAATTTTTCTTATACCATTTACAGTTTACTTTTGATTCGTTAAAATAAAACTCCTTATGCTGGTAACAAAAATTTATTGTGTTAAAAATGGGAAATATTTGGCAATGAAATGAAAATAATTTGAATTAAGCAATGATTCCATCAATTGTCATAGTGCCATGTAGTTAATGAAGGTTAATTAATACATAGAGTGGTATTTAATGCTATGAGATCACAGCGGAACCCACTTAAGTGAAAAACAAATATTTCGTTAACAAGATAATATTTAAATTTTAATAAATCTTAATGTGAAAGTATTAAACCATTATCACAAAACAGGAATAGTGTATAAAATGCTTCTCTGATAACTATTACTCTGTTTGGAAATGCTTTTACATTAGCTATACATCAATACAATAACAAATTGATCTAATACATACATTTATAAATTAAATTAAATATCTCACACACATGAATATAAACAATGAAACTATATGATGATGCAAGAGGTCCTTTCGCAAAGTAACCATGTCGATGTAAAGCTTAATCAAGCTTTTAAAATAATGGTTCAATTATCTATCTGCCCATTTGGCAAGCAGAAATCACTCCTCTTTTCAGCTGCGCTGGTTAGCGTTTGCCGTTCTGAATTTTTTTCTATGTCGTCTAATGATTTCTTTGCCTTGGATGATATATCGTCCATTGATCTTCTGGCAGTTGTTGTGATGTCATCGAGTGACTTTTTTGTCTGGTGAAGTAATTCATCGGTGCTCTTGCATGCTGAGTTAGCCAATTCTTGATTTCAGAGTCGAGTTTACCGATCACCCATTCAATAGCTTGACGCCCTTTACCAGCATTCAGTGATATTTTGTTGCCCAATAAATCTTCCATGTAGCTGCTAAGTGGTACACCCTGGAATAAAAATTATGTTATTATATGAATAAATTGAAAAATAATTTATTAAGGTCATGGTTTCTGTAATATGGCATATCATTAATTAAAAATAATAACTATTGAAACAAAACTTTATTTGCGTAATATCTTGTTAGCAAAGTAAAAAAAAAACAAAATTTTGCAATTTCATTTTGTCAAATTGTTTGTTTGTCATGTGGCATATTACAAATACTAAAATCATATATAACAAAAAACAAAATAGTTAAAATTAAGGTTTTCGTATATTACTACGGATTTTTCATTATTTTACATCTATATATAACTATATTTACAACTGTATAAACGTTTATAATAACGTTTCACTCTGTTTGCATGATTATGGCCAGACGAGGTGAAAGTCTTTGTCTTGTTATTTTTCCAAAAAAAGAAATCGTAGGAGGTAGATATGAAATATATACGTCACTAAACAAATTTTCTAAAAAGTATCATCCATTGACTAAAGGTTTTAAATGTTTGAGAAATGGATTCATTATCCTGTTTTTTTTGTTTTTTTGATAGCACCTAATTCATTTAATTTGTAAACCTTATTAAAATAAAATTAAAATCCCTAATGAGCGTCTCTTGCAAAAGCGCAGTATACTATTGTCAAACTTAAGATAAAACCTATTGACCAATAAACGAACGGCGGTAGGGTCACTTGGCCGGTGCGGGGCATCCGTGCTGGCTCACAGCGGTACTAGTGTGCGCGCGCGCAAACGTATATAAAACACGGCCGCTGTGAGTCAAATAGTTAGTAGTCATCAGTCAGTTGTCATCAGTCAGTCGTCATCACCAGTCGTCAGTAGTCAGTCAGTCGTCATCACCAGTCGTCAGTAGTCAGTCAGTCGTCATCAGTCGTCAGTTGTCATCATCAGTCGTCATCACCAGTCATCAGTTATCAGTAGTCATCATCAGTAGTCACCAGCCGGATCTCGTGAAGACATCTCATACGCTTTGAAGAACAGTGAACAGTGAAGAGGGAAGAACCCGAACAAAGAAGAACCGCGCTTTCAAGATAGTGACTAGGGACCACGTGGTCAAACAAACCAAGTGATTCTGCCGCCATTACCTAACAAGTTGTGGTTTCATTCTAAAACGACGATACGACCCGCCACGAACACGGATCCCGAGGATCGGATCACCGGCCGCCTGCTATTGGAGGAAATTATCATCCGATCCGATCCACCCCTCAAGCGGCGAACGATTCCGAACTCGATATTCGGACATCCCAACCGCCCAACAGGGGACAAAGTTGCAAACTATTTTAACATCTAAATCGGAATTGTCAATGTGCCATTGGCATAATGTTTACATATTATGTAACAAAAAAAATTCTTCGTAAAATAAAATTGTTTTTGGATCTGCTTCACAATTTTCTTGTTACATTTTATAGGGTAATTCGACTATAAAACAGCAACATTGCTAGACTTGATAAAAAGTGTACGCTAACGGCGAAAGTCTGACATAAAATTATATCATATTTAGATAATTTTATTATATCATAGATTTGGAGAATCAATGTAATATTTTTCGATCATTAAATGTTCGTTATATATTTTATGGAATAGGTTTTATTATCAGAACATGTTAAACATATATGATCATGTAAACAGCTTTGAAAAGTAATTTTATGATATTGTAACAGGAAGTTTCTCATTATTTGCAATTTATTTTGACCTTGAACTTAAAATAAGTGATCAAAAATATAACATCCGATAAAATTTTTATCTATTAAAAAGATAAACTGCACGTGACACGTATAATATCTGTCTCTATAAATGTTCAATAGAAAGATGTGAATATTTTCAAATTACTAAATATAATTTTATTATTATGCTATTGCGATTTTGTTTATACTTGTATTATGAAAAAAGGTCAAGGGCCTATATCTTAATCCAACTTTAGTTGTCCATATATCTAGTATTGCTAAAAACTGCTAAAAAGGGTTAATTTCGGTAAATTTTCTCTAAAGCTCAAATGCATTGTAATGGGCAATGGTAGATCAATTGAGATGAAGTATTCCACATGTCATGTCATGCTAAGCTCCCTTTTATCACCAAAATTTTGTAAGGATTCCAGTTTTAATCTAAGATTGTTGACTGAATGTTAATATGTAATTATATACTGATATAAGGACTACTTTCACCAAAATATATGTTAAGTTTTTTCTATTATTTTGAATTATTCATAACATTTAAATGTTTAAATTTTCATCCACAATCACCAATATTTACATAAGATATACCACATTTATCAAACAGTTACCTGAATGTTCAAAATGAATTAAAAATATAAGTCAGTTTAATCAAATATAAATTTAAACTTTTTGCGTAACTTTCATGAGTCTAGACATCCGATGTTATGAAATACTTGCTGATGAAATAGATTGCTTAAAATGAAGATTGTACAATTGAAAGCAAATATGTTTACTTAGAAAGTGGGATGAACAGATAATTATAAACTTTCTCTCGTTTTTAAACACACTTTATAACTGTTCTTAAGACCCTGGAATTTACAGTACAGTATATGTGTGTTTGATATATAAACACATTGATTTCTACTGTTTGTATATGTATATATATGGATAAATGGATATTGTTGCTTACCTCCACTGTAACTACAGCCTCCTGTGTGAGCAGCGTCTTTGATGGGTCTGATGGATGAGGAGTGTACTTCACAGTTTCATCAACAGCTATGTAACGGCAGAAAGTTAGATTTGCAGTTTTTAATGTCATGACACGCTTATCGGGATTAACTTCTGACTTTTCACTGGCATAGCATATTTTAGCTGTGCCAATAAGCTGTAAAATAAAGAGAATTTAACGTTAATCAAATACTAATTATGTTCAAATAAAATATTATTAATGGTACAAAGTTCAATGTAAGATACTTACTGCTTGTGCCCATCGTGGAAAAAACCATTTGGAACTAACGAGCCTGTGAGTATGTATAACACTCCGTCTACAACTTTCCTGTCTACTACATCAATTCCGATGACAGCTGGGTTCATGGGATTGGGATATTTCCTCCATGCCGCCTGTGCGACAGTTTCCCAAGGATGGCTAAAAAATACATAAAAATATTAATTAAGTACTCTTACACCAATCGATTGCCTATAACTTTATCGATGTATCTTTAGGAATGTTGCGTCACAACGTACTTGAAGGTATGTTCAGAGGTCCAAATCTTCATTATTTTTGTATACTTCTATATTTCCAAACAAACTTCGTAAAATAATGGTTCCTATCTCATTTACTTAAGTAATTTTTAATTTTAATTATTACATTCCGTTGATAAAAAACATAGCCACATTCCCTCAGCCCTCACACACACACGACGCAAGAAAGCGAAAGAACGTTTAACAATCGAATTTGACATCAATGACATTTGTGTTTTTGACAATTGCCGTTTTGTAAATTTTAGGAATTACACTAATACCCACGTTAGTTAAAATTATCAACTCTATTTTCAAAAACCTATCTATGTGCATTACTTTTAATAATAAAGTTAACGTTATAATTAAAAATAACAAGATGTAGGCATGTATGAAATATATGACAAAATAAATATCTGTTTTTTATAAGCCTTGAATTTTTGACAACGAAATAAAAATATTATATAAATGTGTATGTGTGGTAAAAAAACACTTAATAATTGAAACTAATGATACTGTTGAATTATACGAATGATTTTTTTTAATAAAGATCCTCAACAAAGTAATTTTTTGTAAGTCTTTTAATTTCCACCTTTTATATCAAAAATTTTAAAGATTGGACCAATCAAATAAATTTTGTAGTTTTCTATGACCAGAAATATAATTGTTATGGATGAATATGAATACGTAGGTCACGGTGAAATAAAAGAGGACAAGAAAATGGTAATAAGTGTGGGATTTTACCACTGCATTTTCATTTTATGGTAAATAAAAAAGTCTCTAAAAATTTTAAAAAATTTTTAGCTAATTAGAATTATGCACGACAGATTGAAATCATGTTTACAATATCAAAAGGAAAAACAGAATAGATTTAAGAGTCACCCCTTCTTCAAAAGTCCGTTAAAAATAAAAGTTCTAAGTTATCTTTACTTTCGTAGAGAGTAGGTGTGAGTGAGTCTTGTAGCTAGTGAATATAGGATTTATTGAAATTCACATTTCTGTTGACATATATGTGATACAATTCCACATACACTCATAAACGTTTACTAAAGACTTTAAAAGTAGCGGACGACTACACTATTGATCTGATGATAAGTACAATTTTTATTATAATTTTTATATTATAAATAAATACTAATGTACTTTAAAGAATTAACTTAATTTAAGAAGAGAAAATGTCGTCTTACATATATTTTTATTCATACTGTTTCATTTCTCAAATGATGTAAGAAAATTATACAGAGTGGGAGTTCCTCCGTTTAATGGAATTTGATTGACGTCAATACTGACTTTGACATTGATATAAGAATCAACCGTGAGTTCTCACTTTAAAAATCTGACAAATGACAATGTTTAATCTAAAACAAATAAAGTTTGCTCATTGCTCTCTGTAATCGTTTGAACTTCCGATCACTATATACAAAAAAAAAAAAACTAGTCAATCCAGCTATTTTTTTCTGGGATCTTAAATCAAAAAATGATGACCTTTTGTTTACTCTCAGATTAAATAAAAAATGTTAGTGTAATGCATTACTGTGATTTTAAAAGGTAAATTATATTTTTTTATTGAACTTTGATTGAATTACTAATTTTATGATAAAGACGGTATATCGATTATGATAAAAGATTTTTTATAGGTCATTGCTCATTTAATTCATCTTGGAACTACCTACTCACTTAAAATAAAGTAAAAAAAATATTTAAAAAAAAAGCTATGTATGTCTAATAAAGAAGAAAACGCTTTTGCGTTACAGAACGAGCGCAAAGTGTTACTAAAGCAGAGGGAGATTACGGAAAAAGGAGAAAAAGGCTCGCAATTCACAGCTAGAGACAAACCGTAATGTAAACAGTTTATATAAAATTTATTACAATCATTTATGGATTGTCATCAAATGGAATAATTATAAAAACAATTAAATCTGAGTTTTTTATTATTATATTTTTTGTATTTTCGTTTTGTGTTACTGTAATACAAAATAAAAGAATAATGATTTATTCTGTTTTATTATAGTATCCATAAACCAAGAGATTCATTATTTTTAATGGAGTTCAGAATTTACAAATTTTACGGGACTTGTGAATTGGGGGCTTTCTATTACTAACCATCGGAGGGGGTTTCGTCTTTGCTTGGAGAATTTTTTGAAGTAAGTAATTTATTTTAATTTGAATTTATTATTATTTTTATCCATATATATGACTTGATAATTTCTGAAACAAAATATATATTGGTAGTCGTGATAATATTCAAAACACTTAATCAGAATTTGAAAAAGATTACTTTGAATCACTATTATAATCAGTTATATTATGACTGATAATTTTTTTATATAGATTCTTATAGTATTATAAGTAATAGAAATTATGAAAGGTTAAAAATGATTCGTTTATAAGATCCACAAGATTTTAAAATATGAAGTTGTTTTAAAATATTAATTATTATTAATTATGCCTTCCTAATTTATAAAAAAAAATTGTTTAACGAGTTTGTAAAATATATCCCCTTGTATTTAGAATAAAATTGATGAATGAGTGAATGAAATCAATTAGTATTTTTAATTTAATCCTGAGGCGTTAGTATTAAAAAACAAGTAAAAAGTTATTTGAAAATGTAACCAGAGAAAATTAAGCAATAAAAATGTTTGCTTTCATTAAAAGCTTCATATAAGTCAATTTACCATACTTGAAGTAAGATCCCTAATGTTTTAATTTTTTTTCATTATATGGAGGTTAGTATGTAAGGAAAAACTTTTTTCAAATAATTTTGAATTTTGTCTTTGAGAAAATGTTGAAATTAAAATATCTTTTTTCTATTTCAGGTATGGGGGATTCGTGTTAATCCTTTGAGTGGATTATAGTTGTTACAAGGCTATCATGAAGGAGCAAAGTCACCAGTACCCATCTGTTATATTACTTATTTGTAAGTAATGAAAAATATTTAAATGATAATTTACCATTTTTTTATTGACAAAATAAGTTTTAATTTTTTTATTTTCAGTTAGTGTAGTGCCTGCCCTGTATTTGCTTATATTAGTTGAAAAAGTGATAGCACGAGTAAGTCCTGTTTTTTTTTTTTTGTCTTTTTTGTTAAATTTAAGTTAATGTCATTTTATACAAGTAATAAAAAAACAAAAAAAAAAAAAAAAACTATGTATATTGTTTTTAGGATGTTATATCTTCTAAATTGGGTCTCCGGGTTACAAATATTTAATATTATATCATCAACGGTGAGCTTGCCTGTGATTGTGCTGAACTTTTAAAGGTCAACAGTTTAGCTTTAGGTATGTATGAGAAATATTATTTTGGAATATTTTAATGTCATTAATCTTTTGTTTCAACTAATTAAACTTTGAAAACTGTATGGCAAAACTTTATTTGCATGTTAATAATATATAATACATATATTAACTTATCGCATTTATGGGTTCCACAAAGAAGTATAGAGATGGGCGTAACAAAAAAGACGCATTATCGATAAGTAACCATTTATTATCGTATATTGTTCTGTAATTACGTTTGTAAAACCAATGTATCAGAAACATAGAAAAAAAAACTGTGATTCTGATTCATCGTTATACCACTTGCGCAGGTGAGCCGCTTATTGATAAATAGGGTTGGGGGGAACAATCACTATCTCTGTTAACGTTTATGACGTTGATTGGTAAGCAATTTTTTTTTTGTTATCACTAGGGGCCCGAATCAATATGTAAATAACATATTTTTAATTTACGCGGCGATTTTCGGTCTAGAATGGTGTTTTTTTTACATGGATTGTCATATTTAGACTGTGAAAAACCAACTTTTATTTTCCATATTTTACCATATTTCAAAGTTAAGTCCCATATTTTACAAGAAAAATGTCACAGTCATCCATATATTCACAAAAAATATATATAAAATATTACGTTCCCGGAGGCCGCTAATGTTTTGGATAAAAATAAAAGATTTAATAACGCTCAAAAAATTGACACAAATTCTTGTGCGAAAGTTTCGAGGGCTGGTAGACATGGCTTACACAATTGCTGAATTAAAGCATGTTTAAGTATGCATCCCATCACGTCATGTGACGTGGAGAAATCATTTCAGCAGATGATAAAAGGGCTATATTTAAAACCAAATGGTCAGTTTTCATTTTGATAATTTTAAAGAAGCACGTCATTGTGTATTGCAACCAATTTGTTAAGGCTAGTCTAATTGAAGTTGAATAAAACTGTTATTTTTTGTTGAAATAAATATTTCGCTATTGTTCTTTTCATCGTTTTTTTTTAAATGTAACTTAACGATGTACGACACGAGTGACCCTTTTCTTATAGCAAAACAATGCAATTTAATTATGAAAGTATTTTTATTTTATACTCCATATTTTTTGATTTTTTCGTCCATATGTTATGTACATATATTTAGATTTTTTAATACATATTTATTCCGAGCTTAGGTTATAGTTAAACACCAAACACCTGGACATTTGCTTCCATATATTTGTGTACAGATCTATAGTCAAAAGATTCTTTATTATGATTTTCAGTGGGAATAACAACAGTTTGTTTGATATATTTGGTGCTGTTCTTGAAACTATGGAGCTATGTGCAAACAAATCACTGGTGCAGGCAGGGTATGAAGGCGAAACAAGTTTAAGAATAAATTGAGACGGGCAGAGTCTGTCTGCGCCTAATTGGAGTGAGTATTTTTTTGTTTTACATATGTTCAATAAAAGAAAACATTTTTTTTTTTACAAGGTTTACCTTTAAACTGCCATAAGGCTGGAAATATTAAACTTACTTTTTTATTTTATTAAGATTTTAATAAATCGAAAACAATAATAAATTACTGTGTTGCAAAAAAAATATAGAAATATTATGTACAGTATAGGTCATGACATGGGCCTTGACTTGTTTTATATGTAAATAGTTTTTTAAAAATATTTCCATATTTATATAATAACCATACATATTAATTTGTTGGGAATATGTTAAAAATAAACCAGGTGATGTAAAAAATATTACATTAAATTATGGAATTGTGGGATTTTTTTTAGAGATTTAAATTTATTCTATCTCTGATGAAGAATAGAACACAGATTAATAATTAACAAAATTTAAATTTAACGGAATTTGTAATATGTAGATTATAAAATAAATATACATTTTTCAGATGAGCTAGTTTAACGCGGAACACCAAAGAGGCGTAAGTTTTGTTTGTGTGACGCAATTAACACTGCACTTACCCTTATAGTGTTTGTTGTATATATTTTTTATGTAATATAATACCTTTTTTGTTTGGCTTTTCAGTTTAATGTAAAGGTATATGGTTTTCCGCTCTTACATAAAAGTAGCTAGCAGTGATTTTATAGCCTTTGTAGTTTAGTGTTCCTTTGTTAGTATTGTGTTATTTATAAACTATTATTAATTATTATATATTTGCTATGAGTTCTTCAAGAATGCTTCTTTTTATATTTATGCTTCAAGAGTGTTTTAAAAGTCGAAACGCAGTCTTTTTTTGTTACCAAAAAACAATAACAAGATGAGATGACTTTTGCAAAAAAAAAATTAACATCTTAAGCTAATTTTGCTTACGTCTATTTTAATACTAGTTTTTTTCCTATATATTTGGCTTAAAAGATTTTGTTTTGTCCAAAGCGATTTCCAAGTGTTTAAGTGAAAAAATGACAAAATTTACTATTAAATAATGAAAATTAAACCTTCCTTCTTTTTTTATATGCTCTACTAAGTCTTAAAATTAAATAAAAGCTGTCTTGAAAGTTCTATGTGCGTGTGAGAGTTTTTTGTAGCCCATGAACAGAATTAGATTACAAACAGAATATATTAAACAGAAACAGAAATATATTAAAAGACTAAATAGAAAAATAAGTCCCTCCATACAGTCATAATAGATTTGGTGTGTACCAATCCTTAACCCATGGTCACCCTATTCATAGCTTGGTATCTAAATATCTTCAGAATCTGAGGACGATATCGACCTGTCGCCCGGGGCCTGGTGAAGTATCCTGATAACTTGAACCTCAAAGATTTGTTCTACTTCCCTGCTTGCTCCCACCCTCTGTTATGAGTTGAACTTCCCACGAACCACACGGTAGTACACTTTGAAGCGATTTTGTTTACACTCTACTATACATATATTTATTAAGTTTATTATTTCCATATTTTTTGTATATTTTACTCATCACTTTCATTTGCTTTCACTGTATTATAGTCATATTCAATATCTTATTGAATCAACAAACCGTTTGACGAAATAAGATAAATTAAAGTTTATTTTCATAATTTATCTCCTTTCGTTGGATGCACACTTTAAAAAATGTACATATGCTGTAAATAAATGCTTAGTGACTGGATGATTGGCTTGTGAAAATGTTTTATTTAATATTTTTTTAGCATTCGAAGAGAGATTTCTCATCAACGTCTGCTGGAAGTAGTGTTTGGTGTTAACTTAGGTGCTGGCTTTTATTCCAACAATGGATGATACCATCCGTTAAGAATGCTGTGGATCCATTCTCTGAGTTAGATATGATTAAGATGACAGAGAGACTACTTAAACTTGGCTGTAAGTGAATATTTTAATTAATATTTATAGAAGTACATGTATATAATGTTAATTATAAATATAATGATTAATAAAATTATGTAAGAACAATGTTTTTTTAAGGCCATTTCTTGGAGACTAATGTATAAGGGTCAATTAAGACTAGTGTATATCAATTTATAGTATAGAATTCTTACAATAATATAATGTTTTCCATTTATATTCCTCTAAATGGTGACCTTTATTAATTTCCAGGTCCCAAACCACTTGATTTGGTTGTGTCTCTTCTACCTGAGTTTCCATTCGTTCCTGAATCTAATGGGAGAGTTATTGCACTTTTGCTGATAGGAACTTCTATAATGATTGGTGGAATGCTACTAACATAGCTGTGTCTCTGGAACACATGGAATATGCCGGTACATGTGTGGGCGGTCAGACATGTATATAAACCCATCACTGAAATGGGTTTATAGCAGAGCTCTTGCCCAGCATTGTAGTGTTCTTCATATCAGCCTTCTTCCATGAGTACTTGGTTAGTTGTCACATGTATGAATTGCATTTATACACCTGTTACTATTATTGCTTCAGAGGATATTTATATAACTTTAAGAAAACTTTTCTTTCAAATCTTATCTGGATTTCGCAGCCTCTACAATTGTTAATATATGGGGCTGTCTATTACTTTGATATGATAGGTATAGTTTTATTCTATACTAGACGTTTCACTAGTGATCTTATATTAAAAATAAAAGTGATTAATGTTTTATGATCATGTTTAGGTGTGTGGAAGATTTTAAAATTTTGCTAGTTTTCCTTTCTTCTGGGGAACGGTAGTTTTATTTTAACTAAATTGCCTGAAGTTTATATTCTATGTATTGTAATGAAAGTAATATTTTCGGATTTACTACGCGTTTTTTTATTTTTGAATACAAATTACATACTTCCGACGTTTTGGTTACTTTACAGTAACCGTGATCACGGGTAGATGAGATGTGGTTAAAAAAAAAGACGCGTAGTAAAGTCGAATAGTATAATTTAAATGAGTACTCGCTAAAATCGTATATGTATATATAAATATGTATATATATTGTATGTATTTTATATACTTGCAGGTCAGTGTTCCGCTACAGATGTTCAGGATATGGGCCTTCCTGGGTATGATGGTTCAGCCTCCCCTATCCATTATATCAAAGTTAGTGAAAGCGAAGGTCGGGTCGAGATGGGGCAACATAATAGTATGGAGCTCCCTTATATTGGGACAACCGCTGGCTATCATGATGTACTACCACGATTATGCGCTAGAGCATTTTAACACCTAAATAGAATTAAGTAATGTTTTATGAAGTACAAATTATTTATATTGAATTGATTCTTAATATAATTGAATGATATTTATTAATGCATTTATAATAAGAGATATAATATTTTTTATATTTTTATACATGGTGTTTATTTTATGGATATATGCAATTTTTGTATATGAATTGTTATAGATGTAACACTACGAAAAAAATGAAAGGCATGGAATAATATATTTTTATATACTTTTGGATTTTATATTTTATAGGTCATGATTGTTATATATTAATATAATAATGAAGAGAATTTAAAAAAGTTGAGAATTTATTATGTATGATGTTGATTATTATGAAATTTAAATATATTTTTATTAACATATTACAATAGTTTTTTTCATTAATAGTATACAATCCCAAAGAAAATATGAAAAAATCATATGTAACATCTTTGTATGGTAGGAAGAATCTTGCAAGTTGACTAATGTTGGATTTCGGTTCCTTTACTTTACATTGTCAAACTAAATATGGTCGCTTCTGTTCTTTTGATACGGTTGAAAGAATATTAATCGATAAAAAAAATGTGGAAACTGAGTTTAGTTGTGTAGAAACTAATAGTAAGGATACATAAGTATTTCTAAAATACGATGTCTTGATTTAATTCAAAAACTTAGAAGTTTAACATTGTTTTGCCACAAATTATGTCAGTTAGTTGTTTTCTTCAGTTTTGTTCTAAATGGATTTGGTTTGAGTATTATGTACAATAATATTATAATTACAATTCTAATCTACTAACTAATCTGTTCTAGTCAATGGTGGGGGGGGGGGGGGGGATTAGTTTAATTTAGTTCATAGCTCAACTCCTTATTACAGTGCTAAAAAATAATCAAGAAGTTAGACTGGTTACCTCCACAGATGAGAGTCCAAAGACTTCCCAAAATCTATTGTTCCTATTTTCTCCATCCTAAATGTCATACATAGGGTCTTCAGCATATCAGTTGAATTTAATGTTTTTAAAAAAAGGCATATAAAGCCGCTCCGCGTATAAATTCAACAACAGAACAAACAAAGTCGTCATATTTTTTTTAATCTTTTTAATGGATATTAAATGTACTGCACAAAACCTTGGTAGCAATTATTTTAATTTTTTATCCCTCTCTAAATTGTAACTTCGCTACTTAGTAGTACCGTAATATCAATTTCTATACAGGGTGTCCTGGTGACACATAGGGCCTCTTCCAGCTGCTTTTATTTTTTTTAACTGATGTGCTAGTCTATAAGTTAGTTTAATATTACTTAATGTTTAGATTTCAGCTGAATAAAGACTTATAATAATATCAATATTTCCACATTATGACTAAATTCCAAACTCACCTTATTTATACCCATATAAGTACGTTGATATCAACATGTGTTGAAAATGATGATAATGACTAAAAATGATTGATGTCAATGACCTTAGACTTTATCACCACTTAGTATTATTATTATCAAATAAAGCAAAAGAGGATCCATGAATACGACAATTCTAAAATAAAAAATATGAAAACGATCTTAGTAGTAGTAAGTTGGGTTGATACCGATAAGATGCTATAAGTTTACTGAGCTATTATTATTTATCAATTCAACCCATATGTACATATGTGTGTAAGTATTACAAATTTTAAATTTATTATGTAAGATTGTTTAAGAAATACTTGTAGCACAAAAACTTCTATGTATTAAAATAAGAAATGTAGTGAAAAATTATTTTAGATGTAGGAAAATACAAAATATCTTTAAAACAAAAATAAAAAAATAAAAAACTCTTAATAAACTATCAAACAGTTGATATTTTATTTGTAAGGGAAACTTGTAACTTTTGCTTGTGGAATATGCCTACATATTAAGTAATCGATGCATTCATATCTACTTTAAAATTTTTTGTCATTAAACGAGCCAATGCAAACATAAGACAATTTTTATTTGACAACATTCATAATAATTATTAATAAACTAGTTTTTGCCCCGCGACTTCGTCCGCGTTAATTTTCATCATTAGTAATATATGTATAGCTGACCCGGGCGAACTCTATTCCGTCTTAGAGGCCATGAATAATCAGGTTTTTTCTGTTTCAATCGAAAAGAATGATTTGACATATTAGTTAGTTGTCAAATCTAATGTCAAGTAAAAGAAAACATTTGTTATGGGGGGGAAATAGAAAAGGGCTGTTTTTAGGGTTTTTCCCGCGTAAAATGAATCAAATTTTTCTCACCTTTTTATAACCTTCCCACTGAACCTCCACAAACATTTCAAGACTAAGATAAGATAAATCCGTTCAGCCGTTCTCAAGTGTTTTAGGCGAGACTAAGGCGAACAGCAATCCATTTTTAGGTATATATAGAAGATTAAATAATAAACGGACTGTATTAAAACTGTTTAACACAAAAAGAGTAAGTTACTAATTCGGCTAAGTTACCCAGGCAATAGCCAGTTATATTTTCATGTCGATAGAAATATAACTAATATCCTAATGTTCCGGCGTACTAAAATTGAAACAAAACGTGAAAAAAAAATATTTTTACTTAGTGCCTTATGGGATCTTGGTTAAAATATCGTCTTATATATTAGATACTTTATAGTTCAATTTTACAATATCTCCAGATTATATATTTTTAAGACGGTTAAGTATCATAAAAGTTTTATTTGGCATGTACTTAACACCGAGATATGGAGATTTCAAATATTGCTTAGCATTAGGTAGTATGATATTCTAACCTCGTGGTTATATGCCTAACCTATTTGTATGGTTGGCGAAGTTATTACTTAAGCGTGCAACCTCTGACCTGATAGCAAGACATTGAAAATGTCAGTGAAACGCTAATCTGATCAAGTGAGGGCCAGCATTCAGGGGGGGGGGGGGGGGGGGTGACATTTCCCAGCTTACATTGTTATGATTAAATTTTCTTTAACTATTTCTCTGATATAATAATCCAAGTCATTGCACCCTTACATATATGTATATAACTTTGTTAAAGATCGGTCGTTCCTTTATATCACGTTTCCTTGATGAAAAGAATTTTTTTAAGATTTCGTTTTTGATGGTGTTTTAATTTTGATCAGTAAGGTTTATAAACTATACAATTTAATAATAGTGTTTTTTGAGGAACCTGTCATCAGAGAGTAATGAAAAAAATTTGAAATCTTTATTATCTCGAAATTTCGTATTGATACTCATTACTTATCAAGTAGTAAACGCAATGACTTGATTATACTGTGCTTTTACTCTCCCGATCTCGTCATGTTTTGGAAACATTGTGTAGTTATTAAAAAAAAAAAAAATACAATTTACGAAAATATAAATTATTATGTATATGCATAATATTGTTAATCTTAATGTGATCGATGTTAATAATTTAATGTATAGTAAACATTTCGTATTTATAATAAATTATTAAGGAAATGTATCAATATCAATATAATATAGTAGATCAAATCTTGGATTAAATTTTCGACCAGGGTTTCTTTGTTTTACCATTATTTAGCTTTATAGTTTTGTATGTTTAAGTAAAAAAATAAGTTATATTTCGAAATGTTTTTTATCATGGCATTACAACGACTAATTGTAATATAAAGACATTTAAACAACAATTTAAATTAAGATAACAATTTATCGTACTACCTTGAAAGATTGAAACTTTTTATAACTAATAATGGTTTTTATATAAATAGACTTTCTCGCCCAGCATGCAATAGATCGGAATAGACGTTCTCAAGCTGCATGAAAAGCGGATTTTTTTTTTTTTTTTTCTTCTGTTTTGGAGTAGACGGGTTTCGTGGCGTATCAAAATTGGTTTTGGGTCGTGCGATTCAATTGATGAAGGGTCTTGATAAGTGGCAGAACGTGTCCCGCCGCCTGGGAGCCACGCCCTTTCATCGATATCAGTCTTAACCTGTCACATCCCTATTGTTTATAATCACAGCCAGGGCTGAAAAATACCCCAGAACAAAAAAAGGACTTGTCTAACATTGCGATTACAGTTCGATTCGATGAAACACAATTTAACAAGAGCGAAAGAGGTACCTAACAACTACGATGTTCTTCCACTTTTAAATAAAATCATTATTTTTTAACCCACTGAAAAATAGTATTTTAAATTCAAGTTTAAACAACAAAAAGCGTACAGATCTTATTTATAACATCAATTTTATATTTAGAAGTGGAATTTATCGCAAGTGAGTGTTCATTTTTAAAGTAAGTAGTTTTTGTTTTTGTTCGTTTTGGTTTTTATATTTTTTTTTAGTAGGGTATTGTTAATTGTATTGTTTACTATATCAAAAATAAATTAAATATATCGTAATGATATCGAAAACTTTCATTAGTATTATTATTATTATTTTTTTAAAATTAAATAAGTATATGATATATAATATTTTTGCTAACGTATCTATTATTCAGTACAATCTTATATCACACTTCTACCTCTAATTATAATTACACCCCCACGTTTATTTATTTCATTAATTTTTATATAGTATATGGTTAATTTTTCCCAACACCACGTTCATGGGCCAACGATATGACCCCAAATTAATTAATAATAAAATCACAGTTACGGTGGCCTAGCATTAGAACAAAGGTGATTTCACCGCGTCAGATAACCACGGAGGGGTTAACAAGTTCAGCGTTCTCCCGAATTACAATTTAATAAACCGTAACTAGTACTCTAAACATTTAACCCTCTTCCTTATTATTTGCGAAATTATTGAAAACGGACGATCTGCTCTATTATTGTTATGATTTATAATTAAAGGCTTATATACATTGTAAATTTTTAAAACTATTTACAACAACAGACGAAGATAGCTTTTATTTTCATAATTGAGAAGCAAAGGAAAAAATATATTTGATTCTTTTTTTATATAGTTATCTAAAGATTTTAATTATTTGCGACTGTAATCCCGTTAGTTGTCATAAACTCATGCAAAATAGTAAGAGTAGATGAAGTGGGTAAAAAACAAAAAAAAAACATAAAGAACTGGATTTTTAAATATAGGAATAGGGTATAATATAACTAGGTAATTAAGTTAAAAAAAAGAAACTGGTTTGAAGTTGAATAAATATAATAATATATTTGTTTGATTTAAAAGAAAAATAGGTTTAGCAAGAAAAAATATTAAAATGAAATAAAAAACTTAAAGTTTAAAGTTCAATAAAAACCGCCGGTTATCCGCAACCTAGTTTTATTCAGCCAGGGTTGTGATGCGCCGCCGCGCGAGTCTGCAACCGGCCGCCTAAGCTGACGCCGCTGTTTGTCATGCGGTTTGTCAACCATTGTTAGGCGGGCCAACGTGCTTCGCAAATGTTATTACATGATTACTATCGGGGGCACAGAACGACCGGCGAGATGTCTGTTTGATCTGATGTTTATAACTAATTGCTATATCTATAAAATAAAAACAAAAAACTATGATTGTTATTATTAATAGAAATTATGTTAAATATGTAATTAATTGAAAGTTGCTATTTTCGAAATCTTCTCGTTTTCGTCTTCGCAAGCAAAATATGTGTAACTGTATTGAATATTTTATAACTATAGCCTACAATTTACAGAGACTTTTTGGTTAGTCGATAATTACTTTACTTGTTTTGGAAGCTTCTAAGTATTTTTTTCTAAAAACACTCTCTCCCTAATAGCTCACCATGAGAATGGATTGTCAACTAAAACACACAATTATTTTGAGATATATTTTCTTTGATTAATTCATAATTATTTAAAAATTTTAAACCGTCTAGCATCTTGAACCGTGATGATGCTAAAATCATACACTATTTATTATTAAATTATTACAAGTTTATCTCACATTAAGCTGTTTATGACTGCGAAAAAACCAAAATTCATGGATTTAGTCATCGAAAACTCACACATTTTTATTTAAGAGTGCTATAGCATGACTACTTCGAGGCATTTTATTTCGTAATATAAAAATAAATTTATATTTTTTTAAAGAAACACTCAATAAACTATACAAATTTGCTAAATATAAATAGTTTTTAATTCTCACAAATTGTGACGCCCGTATCAACATAATGTCGTAGGGGCTATTGAATGAAAAAGTTTGTAAAAGGCTTTGTATTGCTACAGTGTATGTTGGAAAGAAACTTGCGTTTTAACTAGGCTTCAAAATACGAAATAAAATACACTTTAATATATTTAATTCATTCTTACTACTTCAATAGTTCTAGTCTATGAATTTTCGGTAGTCCACTACAATAATATTACTTGTAGTAAACGTTATGCGAGAGGCCACACACAAACAAATGACTACTAAATACATGATTTAAAGTGTAAACAATTAATTTCACAAGTGTGCGTTCCGGTATTTATGTTAAGTATGCCCTCATATAACTAGCTTTTAGCTCGGATGCCCTCCGTCTTTTGTTTACTTTTTTGAAAATTAATTAATATTACATTGTTGACTATTTATATTATTTATTTTAATTGTTCTGTTCGCGTTGTAAACGTACCTTAATAGAAAATAAAATATCCTTGAAATATTCGGATTTATAAAAATTTAAAATAATCAAAAGCATTTGAAGCAAACCGGTATAGGTGTTACAATAAAGACAGTGTGATCTACGAGAATGTCCGCAAAATTATTGTCATCTGACTAAAACACAAAAAAATAAACTATCGCCTTAATGTTTTCTCTGGTTTAGTTCAAGGAATATCTAAATTTATAAAAAATTAATTACATGGCTTAATAGTGTAGGACTTTTCTATTGAATTTGATTTTTTACGTTTTATACTCAGATTCAGTTGTAGTGGGGCAATTAATTTATTCAGGTTGCCATATAAAATATTATTATTATCGGGCGTAGTATATTTTACATTAATTTCTGTACTCATACTAACAGAATGGGACATGCGCGGTATTATACTTTTTAAAAATCGTGGCATTGCTTTTAATCCTCACTAGTTTTTCAGTCTAGTTTTTCAAATGTATTCAATACACAGACAAAAGATTTCACAATCTAATATAATGTATTAGAAAAAGACGATAAAGGGCTAGTAGCGAGTGTGTGTTGCGCGCGTCGTATATCGTCATTGGAGTGGGAGGGCGGGGAGTCTCTCAGCGCGCCGCCCTGTGGTGACGGCCAGGGTTTGTATCAGAAATTCGCTATCAGGCCGGCGGCGCCCGCCCCCCGTACGGCTCCATGGTTGAACACACGCAGGTCGACTGACCTCACAGTCTCGGGTTGCTATTTTTGCAAACGCTAACGCCACACAAAAAACCCCATCGCCGATGCCGACGACGACCAGCTCGCCGACGAATACGTACAGAACTTCGAGTTGGATCATCTCGAAGACCACCATCGCCTAGTTAAACGGGAACCTATACGGAGTAAGGGGCTGGCCACGAACTGGTGGAGACGCTGCCCGGCCTGTGCCCCGTGCGTGTCGCCAGTGGCCCCGACGCCGGACCTTACCCCGCCCAGCCCCACGTGCGCCATCGCAGTAGTAGTACCCCAAAGCACACCCCCGCCGAGACTCCGCCAGCCCCCGCCCGTGGGCCGGAGTCCCCCGTGTCGTGCGCCGCCCCGTTGATGACGTTGCTCTGGTTGCCTCATATGCGTGAAAAAAAAAACCCCTCGACATGCGTAACCGTACCGTGCGTGGGAGCTTCGAGGAGTGGGACCGGGAGGGAGTGGAGAGATCAGGACCATCATTTACAACAAGTCGGCATGCGGCCTGCGGAGAGTTCGTGTTCAGCGATGTCCCCGAGGACGGGTCCGCATCAATCCTATCAGGCCCTCCTCCTGTGGAGACGATTTCTCATCTTCTCAGTGTGACGACTTACTCATGACACTGAGGCGTTCGGGAGCTAAACAAAAGACTACTAGGGAGGGCTATCCCCTAGAGACGATGTTACGAGACTAAAACAAAAAGGGCGAAACACTAAAAAACCGAGGCTACGCACAGAACTGTCGGAGCAAACGGTTGCAGCAGCGGCAGGAGCTGGAGTTAGCGAACCGATCGCTGCAAGACGAGCTGCACCTGTTACAGCTGCAGGTGGCTCGCGTGACACACGAACGGGACGTGCTTAAACAGCGGCTGGCGTTAGTGGGTCGCGAGCACGCCGGTCCCCCAGCACGCGGGGCACGCACACACCCCACTCCTCACTCGTCGCCGGAGTTCTTCTCGGAGCTGTGACGGCAGGGCGCGGCGCCGCGGTCCGCCGCCGCCGCCAGCTCCCGCCTGCACCTGGCAGCGCTACTGAGGCGCCCGCGAACACGGACTGCTCGTGCCTTTTGTTAAGTTTTGAAGATTTAATTATCATGAGTTCCAGTTTTTATATCTTTTTATTATAGTTTTTTTCATTTTTTCATATGGGTGGAACAATGTAGCCGTGAAATCTCTCGTGATGGCGATCAACACCGTGTTAAATGTATGGTTGTGTCGTAAAATATTCATAGCTTCGTTAAAATATATGTATTATTAAAGATTATACATAAGTTATAATGACTCAACTGATTATTCAAGTAATTGTAAATAGATAAATCTACGAGGAATAATAATATTTAGGATTTCTGTTTTCCTAATAAAATATTTCTCAAACAAAAGATTTTTCTTTTTATTTTATCTAAATAATATTCTTACGAAAACAACTTTTTCTTATCAAAGTTTTTCATATAAACAAAAAACCTTTAAGATTTTAAAAATAAGAAAAAAATTTAATATTTCATATTTTCTTTGTCTTTTTTATTAAAGGGAAAATTAAACACGTACTAATCCTTATATCGTTTTATTTAGATTATAAAAATTTATTTCTTTTACTGGACTTAACCTTTGTTATTGAATGTTAATCATCGTCTATATTATTAAAACATGAATCAAAACTAATTACCGATGGACTTAAAGTTAAGGGAACATTGCGACTGCTATTTACAAGTACAGTTAGAATAATATACTTAATTGTTTTTACTTAGATTTCTATTGAACGCTAATTTTATTAAAAATTCAAGGATTCTTTATTAACTTCTTCTTCTACCTGGGCAACTTCCCAGCTATAGCCAGCTCATCTGCCCTTACATGTTTGATGAATAGTTTTTTTTACGTTTTTTTTTAGCTTTTACGACCGGCCGCCTGCTTGACATCAACCCTCTTTGGGATTCTCTATTAACTATTACAGTTTTTTTTTTTTGTAACAAATAGCGCTTTTGAATTTAAATATAACTTAAAGTCACGTTGTGATGTATCACTTAACAAAAGTTTTCATCATCACACTACATACGCAGCGTTTTAACTGTTTTTCCGTCATAAATCAAAAATCTATCATGAATCTATAATAATATTATCTATTTGTGGATGGAATGCTTCGAGTCCTCCATATTCGGTTTGTAGAACTTATGGCAAAAAAACTCTAGGGTTATTCTATGTGTGCGAATATTTATGAATGGGAAAAAACTACTTCACTCTCTCCATATGATGTAACTTATAATAAAGCACAGCACAGTTATATCAGTTTAAAAAAAAAAAAAACGTTGCTGGAATCTATTACTTTATAAAGTAGACTTTAAATAGGATTTAGAGAGTTAATTTGGAAAAGTTCACAAAAAATGACAGGCGGGTATTCCAGAAGATCCTAATTGGAATCTCTTCGTGTTAATGGAGTTTTCATTCTATACAATCCATTTGATTTTTTATAACAGTTTATTCTGTTTTATAACGATGGCTATATTTGTCCCTACATATCTACTAGTAGGTACTATATAATAAACTGAATAGGTATTTATAATAACTTGTATATAACTTTAACAAAAAAAGTCTTTAAAAAAGTGGGGGCGATAAGTAAAACAATAAGTATTAAAAAAATATTTTTACTAGTACCTATTCATTAATTTTGATGTATTTTACTATAATTTTTTATATATCTTTTATGGAAATAAAAACACTAACTCAAATAGGATCAAAATATCATTATTCATTATGTTTAATATGAAATGGCAATAGTTCTCTACTTTTCAATTTAACTGGTTGCCTACAATTTTGAATATATTTGAGTACAATACTGTTAATTAAGTTAAATATTAGTGTTTGAAATACCTTGAAATTTAGAAAAAAAAGCATTAATAAAATAAATAAGCGTTTATAGTTAAATACATACACCCGAAGATTCGGTTACTTTGCAGCAACCGTGACCAATGGTAGACGAGATGAAAGTGTCTTACATTAAAATAACAAAAAAACGAATTATAAAATACGAAAACTTTAGTTTTATTTAAGTGAATACTCCCGGAACGCTTAAATATCATTATGGGGGGGGGGACATCAAATGAATTAAAAAATACAAGAGTTAATTTATCAAAATCAAATCATTTATTTGACTAAATACGTTTTGTTTTTTTTACCTAAAATATGTACAATATTTATATTCTAAAGAAAAATAATTGGCAAACCAAAACGATATATAAAAATCACTTACAGGGGTCAGGATATATTGGTAAGAAATGTTTAATCACAGATCGACTTAATTGTACGCGATAATGTAATGACCTTAGAGATTAGTATCTCATTCTCAACTAGATAATAATACTTTTTATAGATGAATGTCATCCTATAGATGAGGATAGATGCGAGATGAAAAAAGATTATAGATAGAATATTTTTAAATGTAGATTTATATTTTAACTGATTAATTATTCGGTATATATAGCGAGAAAAATTGAGTAGTCTTATACTTAAAAAATAAGGCAAATTCATGATATTTTTGAATCGATTTTTCTCTCAAAAAAAAAAAAACGTTTACGAAACGTGCGGTTCTGTTAATAATAATATAAAAAGTTTTCTTTATTGAGTCCAATGACTTATTGATGATTGTGAATTATAGCGACTTAGCGAAAAATAATGTGATTGCAAAACATTCGAAATATTGAGGTCGCTTTTGCATCGCCACATGCAAATATATATTATATTTGCAAAAAAAATAAATAAATAATTTGTTGAAATTTAATATTAATTTATAATAAACTAAATAGGATGTATACTATATATATAGATATCGTATATCTTTGATATCGTGATATTAATAAATTGTAATAAACATAAGACATTTGTTTATTTTTACAACAGCGTATAACTTTAATATATAATAAAAATAAAAATAATAAAGCTATATATAATAAAATACATATACATACTATGAACAACAAAAAAAATATAGGCATATGATATATACGCAGATTTCAAATACATAAATAATTTTCTCTTATTATTATATAAAAGTCTCCAGTCTTTTAACATATAATACACTTGTTATTTCACTCAGTTATATGTGTATATGTATATATATGTATATGTGATGTGAAAATAAACAGGAAACCTACATTGTTGCACGAGTCTTCATATCGTTTGTTAACTTAGTAAATGTAATTTAATATCACTCGTTATTTAGAACTAACTGGCTTTCGGGTTCAATGATTATGCTTGGATGATATGACAATGTACCTGGCATAACCAACATTTATATACATATATGTATATATTATAAACATATACTAAACTTATGCCCACGAATTTTTCCTGCGTTAGTTTTATAATTAGATTTTGTACAGGGTGACCAGGGCGAACTGTTTCGACTTAGAGCCAGTAAATAAACAGTTTTTGATTTTTTTTTTAAATAATAAATCATACTTTATTTCCCAGAACCATATTCCAATTTTACCCACTTATTATTTAATAGAATTTACTACAAATAGACAAATAAGAACTTAAAAAAAATTTTATTAGCAAATTTTTTATTTGAATTAATTCGAAAATATCCTATGTCCGTCTCTTGATTCTAATCTACCACCCCACTTAATTTCCAACGAAAAAAAAAACCGTACAGACGTTCTTTAGTTATAAAATATTGTGACTAATACTTTTTTTGTAACATTACATATATATGAACTTGTAATATGTACATATTTTTTTATGTACCAAATACACATCTAGTACACCCTTCTTATTATATATATACGTTTTTTTTCCAAGTCCCAAAAAAAACGATTTTAAATAAAAAATTCAGAACTCATTCAATTCTAATGACCACCAAACCCACCCATACCAAAAAAATATAATTAAAATTCTTTAATTAAAAGCCTACATACATATTGAAAATGGTAACGAAAAAAGTAATGATATTTCAAAGCCAATACATATACGTTATTTTTATTTGACATTATAATGCACATTAATGATTGCCATATAAAATTAAACGTTGCAGAAAAAAATTAATTTATTATATACCACCACCACCCCAAACCAAACAAAAAAACAACCACCAAACCACCCCCAACACACACAACACCTAGTATACAACTAAAATTAAAAACGATTAAACCAAAATAGAACATAGTGTCAATTAATAGTGGCATGTATATTATTAAAACTTAAAATAAATTCCCTTTATTATATATTATAATTTATATAAATCTGTTTGGTTTACTTAATTTATTGGACATATGTATTTAAATTTTCATCGTTTTTGGTACATTTATAGTACATTGACTTTAGTAGTCAAAATCCTTTAGTGTCAAAATCCTTACATAAATTATTATAAGCAATATTTGCATAAATTCATAAAGAAAAGTCGTGGTATAAAGTTGGTTGTTATACATTAATTTACACTAGCCTTTATACACTATACTGTATATTCGATTTCCATACATAAGTCTGTGCGCTTCCTCTATTCATAGCTTCGTTGAACGGAAGGCTGTGTTGGTGGGAGAGGGGCGTGTACTCGTAGCGACACGCCCTCTCAGAGCGAGAGGTGCTACGACGCCTATCCAGTTCTGAAGCCCGATATAACCTTCAGCGGAACCTTCACATCCTCAACCATGTGTAGTTGTAATAGAGTCGATATTCGCTTGACAGGTAGAAGACTCTACGTTTTTTTCGTAGCTTATTATAAGCTGTAGCTTGTACATAAGTCGAGGGCTGTCATGCAAATGGAAGGCTGTTAATGAAGTCGAGGAGAATTATTGTATGGCATTGTTACTGCGGTCCGGCGGCGAAATGGCCCATTTAGTTGTTATACATCATAATAATATATGAGAGACAATTATTTAATATTATGGTGGTCACCCGCTCATATTTAATATTTTATCAAAGAATATTAAACTCCATAAATTGCTATCATTTTAATAGTAGTTTAATGATTAATGATGTAATATAATTTGACTTTATGTAATAATATATCTTTCATATATTTTTGTATCTCTATCAAATTTTCTATATGTAAAAAATAAAAGAGATATCAATCTCAACAATATTATCGGAAATATATTGTCGTAGTAA